GTAATCGCAGTCCGGAAATGCAGTAACAGGCAAGCTCTATTTGTCAACCCGGGGTCTAGATCTACTGCCTACTCCGTGAATATCTCTTATCTAGCAAACTAAGTCGAGTGATTGTGATTTTAACTAAAAGCAGTAAGAAAGCAGGAAATGGTTCGGTATTCTAAAGCAAAGGGAGAGTCACTCAGGAATGAGTCCCCCTAGCTCCTTAGTTAGGTCACAGTTGTAATTACCCTAGGTTGATTAACTGTTGATTAAACTGTGGAAGATCCGAAAGTAGCTTGGAATCTCTTAAGCTGACCAAGCCTTCTCAGTCCAACTACCCGGCAGACGACTAGTCTTCACCGGGATAGAAAGCTGAGGCTATGAACGCATAACTCCATTACTGGAATTGGATTCCAGTACAAATCAGTAACTCGATTAACCCTCGTATAATCAATCTACCACTATCGATTGATGAAGCTCTAACAACCTAATCAGATTCTATCTGTCTCAGGCTGCAGCAGAAATCAAGAAAAGATTATCATACTTCAATTGACTCAATGAATCATGCATCAATCGATTAAAATCAAACAGTATAACAATCCCAAGTCATTACAATCAAGATCCCTAACACATGGAACTAGGGTTCTTCATACCCAAGTGAGAGAAAGTTCTACTCCATAGAGAGAGAGAGGAAAACAAAATACAAAGTAGTCATACTCATAACAATGGGAAGAATCTGCTCTGGGATGGCAATCTTTACTCCTGGGGATGCAATATGGGCTTCAATGGTGAGAAATCCACTCCAAATAGCTCCTAGGGTTTGTTCGCATTTTATCTCTCTAAAACTCTGTTTTTGCTCCAAAAGGTCAATTCCCTCTCCTTTGGCTCGAAATTGGGTTAAAATCCAGAATTTCCTGACCACACAGCCAGGCCACACGACCGTGTGGATTCCCAGTTTGCCCGTGTGAGAATGGAAACGCCGCGTTTTGGTTAGTGGACTTCAGGCACGCTGCACGGTCAGAGGCACACGGCCGTGTGGATTTCCAGTCTTGCCATGTGAGCTCCCTGGACTTTCCACACGGCCACAAGGGATCCCCTACAAGGCCAGTGTGCCTTGGCCCTGCAAATTGGTGTCACACGGCCAAGTCACACGGCCGTGTGGAATTTTAGGCGTGCCCGTGTGAGTTCCTCAGTTTCTCGTCAAACATCCAATCTTCGTCCAATCGACCCCGAACTCGTTCCCAAACCTTCATTCGCGTACTAGGACCTGAAATATCACAAATAAGAACAACCTAGCATGAAATCAGCCTAAAACACGAGAAATAAGACTCAAACGGTATATGAATGGTGGACAAAAACATGTGTATATATCAAGTCATCATCTGGCATCTATAGAATTGTTAGATGGAGGTCGACAAATATGGAGATCATTAGATTGACTACGTGAGCGTCATCTATAGATTTTCCACTAGAGGAATTTCAAAATCTACCATAGGATATCAAGATTAGATTAGAGTAAGGGAGCCTAAGATAAAGAAGAAAAAACAATTAACTCTATTGACCCGTAATCCGATTGAACTTGTATCTCTACTAACTCGTAACCCAATTAACCTGATTGACTTGTAACCCATTGAATCGTAACCAGGCTAACACGCAACCCGATTAACACAAATCCAATTGTTTCGTTACCTGATTGGTCCGATGAACTATGGAATAAATTTCATATGTTGTTTCAATTAATAGTTCAACATTATATTGTTTGAAGGGATTAATGTACAATTATTATGTTTGTTGGTCTATTTTATAATTTTTGTAAATCTTATTTGTAATGTTATATAAATTTGGTTTGTGTCGTTTATTATTTTAGTTGGTTGTTTTTGTCTATTATGTTTGTAATATTTATGTGAATAATTTGTATATATTGTAATTTGTAATGTTTGTTACTCTAGTTTGTATACTTTAAGTTAGTGATATTTTGTACAGTTATTATACTTTTATCATCTCGTTTGTATAGTTTGTTTCATTGGTTTCTAAAGTAAAGCATCATTAAGGTTGTCAACCAGCAGGTTGACCCCCTTTGACTCTGGCCAGATGAGAAAAACAGGTCACACGCACCGGCCAGGTCGACCGCTACAAGTTATCGGATTGGAGGTCAAATTGTGTCATTTTTTTCTTTGGTTTGCGAAATGCGCCTATTTTCTGATTTTTATTTTCGCGTAACTCAATATTTGGAATCCTTAATTGAACATTTGAATATTGATGTTATATAAGTGTGTGTGAATTTTCTCTATATGTTGGTTCTAAGTACGACATGTTACTTTGATGTAATGTTATATGTTATTTAGATGAGATTTGATATAATTTATCAGGATAAGTATAATATAATGACTCTTTCCATATTTCCGGGCTAAATCAGGTGATCTGTTAACCCTTGACCCACTAGCTCGACCGGGTCCGGGTCAACCCGCGGGTTGACAACCTTGAGCATCATTGAACGACCCGAGTCTTTGAAAACTGTGGTGCCCTCACCTGGCGCCATTCCCGAAACTAGCAGTAGACGAGCCTGAACTCAGATTTGACCAGACTCTTCTTTCTTTAAGCTACTCCCACACTTTACCCTGCCCGACTACTTCATTGCGATGAAAATTAGTCCCCACTAGAATATGGAGGTGTTAGGTAGTATCCAAATCCATGAATCAAATCCAATGCATCCACCAAAATATCCAACAAATCCAATCTATTTGATTAAAATCCTATTGGATTGGTGGGTTTAGATATTTTTTAAATTACAGTCTAGTGCCTATACTTTTTATATTTTACATTTTGGTGCCTCATAACCTTCTTGGACGATATCTCACAAATCTTTTGAGCAATGAAGATTCTCTTCACTTGTTCGCTCTAGTAAGTAGAGTTCACCCTAAAAATTGGAATCTGACTTGGGGAATTTGCGAACATTGTGTTCGCTTGGGTTGTTGCTATGGTGATTGGGAGTTTTTATGGATAAGAAATATTTGGGCTAGTTTAGGAGGATATAAAAATTATATCGGCTTTAATGCACGAAATCAAGAAAATAAAATTATTTCATTCCAACATTTTTACACAACAATATCTAAGCAATTGTTGTAAAAGAATGACGGCTCTTATTCTATTGCTCTGTTTCTACTGTCACTATCACTTAGCCCACTTACATGCCTCATACAAATCCCTTATTTATACTAAACTGCAGCCACCATCACATACTCAAAATCATTATATTTATTGTGGTGTTTGATTAAGTCATAAGTGTATGGCTGGGTTTTAATTTCATTATTTTAATTATTGAAGGTTGTTGGCAGGTGGAAATTTCTCCTTCCATTTGCTCATGTGCGTCTCTTCTAGATTTTTCCCATGATTGTAGATTAACTTTGATAATATGCTCCCTAGTACTTTTTCTCGTTATAATGCAAGCAACCTCGAGAGTTCAACCTAGGACAATCTTCTAAACACCAACTTCCTATCAGTTTTGTAGAATAAGGGCACCGAAAGAACATATGTTTTTTTTTCATTTTTTGTAAACAACTCGTATTCAATCAAAGAGTTCTTTTTTGCTTTGCTTTACTACCTGCTAATTAGTCCCCTTACCCACTCTATCCTCTCTCTTCTTCTTTTTTTCAAATTTTTTCTCTGACCTCTTTCTAACAAATCCACTCTTTCAGGCTATAGAGGGGCTGCCGTCGGGGCCTCTCCGACGATCGACGACAGCTCTCCGCCACCCCTCTTGCTTTTTCTTTTTGTGTTTTAAGTTTCCAGCTCTTTTTTCTTTTCTCTTAGTTTTTCCAACCTCTTTGACATTCTTTCTCTGGTTGTTTGGTTTTCTCTTGTGGGTTCTGCTTCTTACCCTTCGATTGGGTTGATTTTTTATCCTCTGTTCTATTGTTTCAGAACTGGAGATGCACGTCCTTTCTAAGAGGCAAGGAGACTAGATCTGCTCTAGATCTGGCTTGTCTTCTCCTCACCTTTTTCATAGTCTACCTCGTTCTCACCTTGCATATCTTGGTGGTTTGGAGATGAACCCTTTGTTTCCTCCGCCTGCAACCGATTGAGTTTGTTTGATTTCCCTTGGGTTGGGCTGTCCTCGGCTGGAGGCGGACGGTTTGTTTGTGTCAGGTTGGTGCGTTTGGAGAACTTTCTCCTTCTCTCTACCATCCGAGTTTGGCCGGTACCTGCTCCTTGGCTCAACGAATGGTGGCAATGTCATGGCGGCGTTCTTGGTTCGGGTGAGCGGCGGCGGAAGCAATTTAGGCCACGGCGGGGATCTCAGAGGGAAGCCATGGCGGGTAAGGTTGGAGGATTAGAGGATAGATTTTTGGGTCTTGGGCTTAGGGCTCTATTGAGTTTCGAGCTTGGTTTGAGCCTGGTTATCTATTAATTTTTCAGCCTTTGTGGTTTATTGTTGTATCTTTTTCTTAATTTACAGTGATTTTAAATTAACTTTTAAATTAGTAATTATTTTATTTCATCAAAGGAAAAAGTGATTTTTTTTTACAAAAAGGAAAAAGTGCTTTTATTTCGTTAAATGATCTCTTTTTTACAATGTTGTCAGAACCGAACCGGAGCATGACCCGGTAATGCGAACGATTCGCACTTTAGTGGTCCAACCGACATTAGACCGTTTAAAAATCGTTAGAGAACCGGTACCTAATAAACGTTATCAGTATAAATAGTGGACATTTCTTAATCATAGCTCGTCTCTTTCCTTCGAAATTGTGAAATGGAAATAAAGATTTAGTTTGAGAGCCCGGATGAGCGGCTCGAGCGGTTAACCGCCTCGGCCGCTCGTCAACCGCTACATAAAATCAGAACGACTTTTAGACGGTTCCGAGCCAGTTTTGTTACCTTATGGCGATTTTACCGGTCGGGCTAAACGTCTGGGCTCGACTTTAATAACACTGCTTTTTTACCTAGAGATATCCGAGAAGGGAAACAAAAAGATACCGCAATAAATACAAGATCTTTGCAAGCAGAATTACAAAGAAGACCCGTTGGTCACCCAACTAAAGACCCAATGATGAGAGAGATTTTTTTTGTCATGAGATAAGCAGTGTTATTATACTTTAAGTGATACGAAAAGTCAAACAAGACACGCAACAAACGTAAAACCTGAACATGAGAGCTTTTTATTTATTTCCTTTAATCTAACTTGTCATTTTTCTCTACGACAACAAGTGAATCAATCTTTCCACATTTTGATAGGAGGAACCACCTGGGACAGTGGATTCAATCGCCTTGTTTTTCCACTCCACGGCTCTCCTCTTCATTTCTTTCCCCTTTCCCCCGCCCATCACCTCTCTCACCAGCTCCTCCACTTGATCCCTCTTCACGTTCGGGTCAATCTCCATCCCAACTCCCCACTCGTTACAAGCGTAGAAGCAATTCGTTTGCTGGTCCGCGAAGAAAGGCCAGCATATCATCGGCACACCATGCGACAAGCTCTCCATCGTAGAGTTCCAGCCCATATGGCTCAAAAACCCTCCAATCGCAGGATGGTCTAGAACACGCTCTTGGGAGCACCACCCCACCAATAACCCTCTGTCCTTGGTTTCGTCGACGAACTCAGGAGGCAGAGCTGCTGATTCACCGGACACAAGGTCCGGCCTGACGACCCACAAGAAAGATATCTCACTGCTCGCCAGGCCCCATGCGAACTCGTTCAACTGGTCAGGATTCATCACGGTAATGCTCCCGAAGTTCACGTAGAGAACGGAGTTGGGTTGCTGGGAGTCCAGCCATTCGACACACTCGGGATGCTCCGTCCATAGATTTGTGGTGACGTTCCTTAGTTCGTCTCCTCCGACAACGACTTGACGGAGTAGTAAGTTGAGTGGGCCGATGGTGAGGAGATTTGGGGAAAGTTGGGAGAGAGCTGCTAGGACATCTTTTTCTAAGAGTTGGAATGTGTTGATAAGGAAAGCGGTTGCCTCGGGGAGCTTCGAGATCTCCTTTTGGACGAAATTGAACATGATATCGTTCGGGTTCGTGGTTCTGAGGAAAGATGGGAGGTCTTTCAAGCGGATGTTGTTGCTCATTCCTGGAATGAAGTCTAGGGGTGTCTCTAGGTATCCGTTGGTCAAGTAACTCGAATCTGGATTACATCAAAATTTAGTCAACGGTTAAAACGAGCACACATATTAATTAATTATTTTTGCTCTTTCTGGAACAAGACATCAACCGACAATTGAACGTTGTTCTTGTACGTACCTTTAAGAGGGAAGAAGCCTCGTTGGACAAGAAGGTGGTAATTAGCGTAGGCCAAAACTCCACATGCGCTGGGCGTCCAGAAAAGCGCCTCCGGGATCCCCAGCTCCTTGGCTACTTCCAGAGTGAAAGTCATCGCGCCATCCGCCACGATACAGCTAACGGCAGGTGAGGATGAGGAAGCGGCGTCGTTTAGCTTCACAACGAGGTCGCGGAATGGAGCCAAGCAGGTTTTGGAAGTGGAGTCGCTCAGCAGAGCGATATCCTGGGTGGCGTCGGTTGTGGGCGGAGGGGGGAGGCCGTCGGGGATCGCCTGGAAGTTGAAACCCGGCGGGAGAGAGTCGAAGAAGGCGGCGCCGCCGCCCCGGGACTTGAGGAGGCGGCGGTGGTTGTACTCGGTGTTGACGAAGGTGATGTGGAAGCCGCCGTGGGAGTAGAGGAGTTTGGCTAGCTGGAGCATGGGGTTTATGTGGCCCTGGGCTGGGTAAGGGATGCAGACGGCGTGCCGGGTTTGGTAGCCGGCGAAGGTGGCGGCCGGAGGACTCATGGCTAGCTGTTGTGGTTGGGTTTGTGCTCTCTATGAGGTTGGCTTGGGACGATGATCAGATTGTCTGTTGGGATATATATATATATATAGGCAGATGGATAAAGGAAGTGCCGAAGTGGATAAACTCTAGACGGATGTTTCGTAGACGGAGTTGTATCAATTGGGCGGAGGTTTGTTCTTGCCTAATAAATTGTCTCCCGACTAGTGATGGCAACGGGTCAAGGTTGGGGCGGGTACCCCTAAACCCGTGACCTGACCTGCCATCCTGTCCATTGCCCCGACCTGCCCCGCGCCCCGCAACGGGTCACCACTTTCTGACCCAGGCAGCGCCCCGCACGGGGCGGGTAAAACCCGCCCTGCCCCATCTTCAGTTATCACCTGTAACATAATCTGTAATCCTATAGCTGCATAATCTGTAATCCTATAAAACATAAATAAAGAAACTCCACGTACTCAAATATCATCCATAACTCACAAAATAAATTATGGTTCCAACATTCCAATAACAAAAAAGCAAACTTCCCAACAAATCCAATTCCCAATCATCCAAAATAAACTCTCAAACCTCCTCTAAGAACTAAAATCCGAATTCAAAAAGAGTTTGCATAAACCATAAGAATCCAAAAGAACATAATAAAAGCTTTCAACTGAAGAGTCTGGAAACTCCAAACTTAATACAGCAAGCAGCAGCAGGCAGCAAGCGTTCCTCAACCTTCCTCAAGTCTCTAGAACAGCAACATCTCCTCTCCCCTAACTTTTAGTACCATTAACCTGCACCTTTGTATGCATAAAACATGAATAATGGCGAGTTAATGAGGTATTAGTAATGTTAAGTTGCTGTCAAACTTGCAATTCACAAAAAAAAATCCACATAATGATTGATGAAGAAACCACAGTCCACAATGAACAAACCAAGCTACTGCTACCTAACTGTTGGCATTCTTTCGTTGCTGTAACTATCAGCTGCTGCCTAAGGCATACACAATTCACTATTTATGTACATATATAAGGTATTAGAGGGTACCTCAGCTTCATTATCGGATTCATCTGAATCTTGAAGGACAGTGCCATGTAAATTGTCCACTGCTGACATATCTACATTAAAAACAAGCATTAATAAACCTGGATTCTAACTTGATTACCTCTTGAATTAGAAGAAAATGCTTAGTTGATTACCTCTAGAATTAGCACGCAACCAGCTTTGGGCACACATTAAAGCTTCGATAGTATTCGGATGAAGCCTACTTCGATGGGAAGAAATAACCCTTCCACTAGTACTAAACGCAGCTTCAGAGGCAACTGTAGAAACCGGAACAGCCAAAATGTCTCTTGCAACCTTGTGTAAGATAGGATACTTACTCTTGTTTGATTTCCACCAGCATAGAAGATCAAAATCAGGAGACTTTGGTATGATATCATCTTCCAAATAAATATCCAGCTCTGACCTCACAGGTTTTCTTTTCTTCCGGGAAGCATATAAGTCGAATTTGCTGGTTAATGACCCCCCAACACTTGCCCCTGTTTGTGGGCAGCTCACCTGACCACCATCATTCTGTTGTTCTTTCTCCCTTTCCTCCTCTTCATACTCTTCCACCAACTTACGACATAAACCAAGTATCCTCTCCACCTCGAGGTCACTATTCTGACCATAAATCTCAGGAAAATAACAGTCCAACACATCAAACTTGTAGCGAGGATCCAGAATAGCTGCCACCGCCATCAAAACATGAACATCTGACCAATATTTCTCATACTTCACTAGCATATCAGCAGCCATATTCTCAATCCTCTCTATCCCACAAACACGCCATTGATCTAAAGCAACTTTGATCTCACAAACCACAGGAAAGCACAAATTTGCAGTGGGATACTTGGTACCAGAAAAGAGATTAGTGGCTTTGTAGAACATCTCTAGCCTAGTACAGATTTCTTTGGTCAAACTCCAATCTAGTTCACTAGGCAAGCACTTGTACTTTGGTTCACGATGCTTTAAGCGATTAAACACATCCTTATACTCCAAGGCCGTGTTCAACATCAAAAAAGTTGAATTCCACCGGGTTTCACAATCAAGTAGGAGCTTCTTACCGGTTTGATTACGAAGTTGGCGAGCTGTCTCCTCAAATTTTTCCCATCTCTTTGGTGTCCCCATCCAAAACTGAACGCTGTCTCTTATCTTCTGTATGCCTTCACCAATCACTTTCATACCTTCCTTCACAATAAGGTTCAGAATATGCGCGCAGCAGCGCATATGAATCATGCTTCCGTTGCTTAACATAGAATCCATGGGAAGCTTCTCTACCAACCGAGTGATCATCGCATCATTTGTCGAGCAGTTATCGACAGTAATGGCTGATAACTTACAGTCGAGATTCCAATCCAGTAAGCATTGCAGCAAAACATCACAAAGAACTTCACTCGTATGGGGGGAGGGGACATAAATGAACCTGGAAATTGACAATAAAAAATAGACAATGAGCTCACAAACATATAAAATTATAGAGATCAATTTATAAAACTAAGAAGAAAAAAAAAGAGAGCAACAGATTGTTGGAGGCAACGAGACCAGGTTAGGAAGAAGCATATGTTAACACTGAAATAAAAAGCAAGGAAGAAAGTGAACAGGGGATTTTTACTCCATGCATATTATCATCTAATTAGCATCAGTAGCACCATATGAATCACCTAATTAACTCAAAGTAAGCATCTCAAAATATTCATGAACAACCATATCAACATGGAATTCTTAGGTAAACAGCCCAGAAAAATTGCAGGTTAACTCAAAGTGAAAGGATTTACTCCATAACATAGACCGAGAATATACCTGATAATTCGACTTTCCAAACTCCAGTTGTTGTTGACATAATGTGCTGTGATTGCCATGAATCCCTTCTTCTGTGAAGATGTCCACATGTCTGTAGTTATTGCAACACGACCTTCATTCCTCTCCAGCAGCTTCATTATAGCTTGCTTCTCAAGATCATATATGACAAAACAATCTTTCTTGATTGTGTTTCTGGTCACCATCTTGAAACATGGGTTAAGACTAGTGCAAAAGCTCCTGAAACCTTCATGATCTACTATCGTCAGAGGGTATTCATGCTTGATTATAGCTTTAGCCAGCTCTTTTCGAGAAGCCTCTTGATTGAAATTAAAAGGCGTCAGCTGAAACTTTTCCTTGGTCAGATTGCCTTGCAGAACTTGTTGTCGAATATCGGCAGGCCGAGGCACTTTAGGACACCTTTCATGATGATTTTTCAGATGATTTGTTCCTTGCTTCGGGTCTCCAAGAAGCTTCTTCTTGCAGTATTTGCACTCGGCTTTGAGCTGGTCGCCAACAGTTAATTTGTTGTAGTGTGCCCACCACTTAGAGAACACTTTTCCAGCCGTCCCGCCCTTGCGCTTCTCGCCAGTATTTGCATTTTGAGGGGGAACATGGACATTTTCAACTTCAGCAGCAACTGGTATAACAGCAGGTACAACTTCAGCCTGAGTTGAATCCATATTTGCAATGGTTCCACCAGGTTGTGATCCCTCGGCCATGTCCTGTACGATCAGCAAAAAACCCAATAATTACCAACATGAATAGCTACATCCAACAATGAATCCATCCACTATACCTAATTACTCTCGTTTCTCATTTCTAAACAAGCATAGCGGCAACCAAAATAAATCCTAAATACACAAGCATAAGCTGCAGTCAACAAGAAGACCCTCGTTCTTTTGTTTCTTTACCTTTGTTCTTGTTCATTATTTTCAGCATGAGTTCAGATTCTAAGGAATTAAACTATAGCTATCAAAAGCATAGCAGCCAACAGTGGACTCCAATGGCAACATCTAACCATGAATCCGAATAAAACACAAGCATAAATAGCAGTCAACCCTCTGTTCTGTTAGAATTCAGCAGTCGCTATTGATTAAGAATCCATTATCCATATAATAAACAAGCATCGGCAGCCGACAGAGAATAGATACCTTCAAAGACAGAGAATAGATGGCACTGGCACAACACCCTTGAATTGGATAGCAGAGGTGAGACGATTGAGGAATCGACTCCGAATCTCCGATGGTGGCAAAGAATTAGGACGGAGAGGAAGATGAAGCTTTCGGTGGTTGTGAGGGGGATATTATATAGGAAGCATAAGGGACAGAGAGATTTGGGATTGGAAATAGTCCCAATTGTTCCTCCCATCTTATTCTCGAAAGTTGAGGGACAGAGAGATTTGGGATTGGAAATCGTCGAAATTGCAGGGATACGAGGAGCCCTAGCATTGATGGATGGCAAATTTATTGATGGAAGGAGTGGAGTTAAATGGAAGGAGGCCGGAGGGATTGAAATCGATTAATAAGGTAGGAATTGGAACCTTCCCGCAGGGATACGCAAAGGTCGGGGCGGGGCGGGTCGGGACGGGGCGGGTGAGGCATGATACCCATACCTGTTCCGTCCTGTTCACGGGTCGGGTCGCTACCCGCCCTGTTCTGCCACGGGTCGGGTTTAACCCGCCCCGGTACGGGTCGGGTCGGGGAATACCCGCCGGGGCGGGCCATGACTGCCATCACTACTCCCGACTTGTTGTCCTCCAAGATGCAAGCTTTTATGAGCATCTCCATTGGTGAAATTACATTTGCAATAGCATTTGTTTTTTTATTGTTATTTTATTTTTTCAATCCAAGTCATTTTAATTGCATTGGACCACATCAATGCAATTAACTTGCAATTGTAACTAATCTTTTAAATTTAATTTATTAAAACATAAACACTCAAATAATAAAATTAATGAATAATTTAATAATAAAAAAGATGATGTGGCTTGCATTCCATAATTGCATTATATGCAAGCTTGCAAAGATGCAATTGTCATCTACATCAATGCAATTGCAAATGAATGTCATGTCATAATGCAATTCTAAATGCAATTTCAATGGAGATTGGTGCTATTAATTATTGTTAGATGATCAAATTAAATTTTTTTTTTTTTTTACGTCATTCATTTGAAACGACTCCTAACTCGTTCACTTGATATTATGAATTGTAATTTTTGATCGTA